GTCTAAACCAGGTCTAAACCAGGTCTAAAATCAGGTCTAAACCAGGACTAAAACCAGGACTAAACCAGGACTAAAACCAGGTCTAAACCAGGTCTAAACCAGGTCTAAACCAGGTCTAAAATCAGGTCTAAACCAGGACTAAACCAGGACTAAAACCAGGTCTAAACCAGGTCTAAACCAGGTCTAAACCAGGACTAAAACCGGGTCTAAACCAGGTCTAAAACAAGATTTAACAGGACTAAATCATGCTGCACGGACCTTGTCTCCTCTTCTTCTATCAATAATATTTTTAATTTGGTTAAGTAAAGTCTGGGCTTTTTATTTTCTTTTATCAGACAAAACTTCTTATGTGAAGATTTCCTCGTCTTTGCTTCTCTACAGCAAATCAAGTAATCCAAAGTATTCAGATTACGTTACTCACTTTAAGTAATTTAATGGATTACGTTATAAACTACATTTTGGGGTATGTAATCTGTAATCTGTAGGGGAATACATTTTAAAAGTCACCTTCCCAACACTGTCTGTTGCAACATAATTTAATAAAATATATCATAAAATACTCTTGGCAGTATATACAATACAGCAGCCCCCTTACTGATGAATACATTTATCTCACCATTAACAAATTCTGCAAGCAAAATTCTGAAGTTATATCCTCAAATCTCCCTTGTTTTAACATCAGCATAATCAAATGAAACAGAAAACGCACACCGAAGTTTTTGTAGATGTGCAAATGCAAAGAACAGCAAGTTAAAAGTGAAAAAATGCACAGCACACTCAGACGGCCGATGTCTAAAAGCTTTTTTTATTTTTAAATTACGCCGTTGTCAGATCATTTTTCTTGCTTTGCACCACAGTATACCTTGACATAAGCATAAACATTCTGTGAGATATTAATCCTGATCTTAAAGGTGCATTGCGTAACTTTTCTGGTCGAGGACAAGTCTCTGTGGAGATGTTGTTTCTTTGCCTGGAATGCACATTATGGCATTAAATGTATCAATCTCCACAAATATAGAGAGAAGTACTTGTTATCTTGGCCTACATCAACACAGGTATAATACTCCCTACAACAGAAGCATAGCCAGACTATCACACACTATCACAATGTGTTGATAATAATAATAACAATAATGATAATAATACATAACACTTGTTTAGCACTTTTCTTGACACTCAGAAACACTTCACACAGTTAAAACAAACAAAACACAAATGACAAAAACAGATAAAAATGAGATACAGTTATTTGAAAGCAGCTTTGAACAGATGAGTTTTTTTTTAAAGATGGAGAGTGTAGATGAGTCTCTGATGTGTTTGGGGATTCAGATTCAGATTCAGAAAACTTTATTGATCCCATAAGGCAATTCATTAGCAGCATCTCAGAGCAAACCCAAACACAAACAAACACAAAGTGAGTCAGTCCATTGCCGTCCACCAGTGGAACTCAAAATAATGTACAAATTACAGTGTAAAACTTTCATAAAACTGTATCCTTAGAATTTAACAATTTTATAGCACAGGGCACAAAAGAATTAGAAAACCGGTTGGTTTTCCGTATCGGAGCATAAAACCGACGCCCTGAAGGCATCAGGATAAAATCAGGAGCCAGAAGATGGAGCGGCTGAGCCAGGAGACACTTGGATTTGCTCAGCACCTGCTCCTCCCACAGAGAGTGCAGCTCCCTCAGTTTGATCCCTGTGATTTTCGAGCAGGTTTTAACAATATTTTGAAGTTTGTTTTTATCCTTCACAGACAAGGATTCAAACCAGCAAATAAAAGAAAAAGTAAGAAGACTTTCAATAAAAGAACAATAAAAATTGTTAAGAATAATTTTGTTCACATTAAAAGAGTTCAGTTTCCTCAATAAATATATTCTTTGCTGCCCTCTTTTGACGATGCTTTCAGTGTTTAGGTCAAATTTCAGTTTATTGTCCATCACGGTGCCCAGATATTTGTAGCTATCAACTATTTCAACATCATCACCGTGGACGACACTAACACCGTGGGAAGGTGCACGTCTAAAATCAATCACCATGTCCTTAGTTTTGGCAACGTTCAAATCCAGGTAGTTTTCCTCACACCACTGGACAAACTGCTCCAGTGCAGGACCATGATTTCTCTCAGATCCTGAAAGCAGTGACACCAGGACCGTGTCATCTGAATATTTGATTAGGCGTCGATTTTCCTCTGAGGATCTGCAGCTGTCCGTGTGCAGAATAAAAAGGAGAGGTGACAGTACACAACCCTGAGGAGAGCCAGTGTTAGAGATGGAGGGAGGAGACCATTGCCCATTAACAAAAACACACTGGACCCTGTTGGTAAGAAAGTTTAAAATCAATAAAAGAAGCTGATCTGGGGGATTAAAATCTGAAGCCAGTCTCTGAATCAGAATGTGGGGCTGCATTTTGTTAAAGGCAGAGGAAAAGTCTGCAAATAAAAGTCTCACATGGGCCCCTGAGTTTTCAAGATGCTTATAAACAATGTTCAGTAAAAACAGTTTTGCATCCTCCACTCCCCTATAGAGTAGGGGAGTATATAGGGAGTTTAGTTCCAGACGGTGAGAGCAGCAGCGGAGAAGAAGGTCCTGTCCCCTCTGGTCTTGTGACAGGAGGTTGGCCTCAGAGTGGATCGTGTCTCCGGATGCTGCGTCCTGCACTTTTGTAAATAAACTTTCTCCTGCGTCAGAACTCCAGCCTCTTCTCTTCAGCTGTCAGGCTGCTGTAACTTACTCTACAACAGTGGCGTCACACAAATTATAAGTCTAGTCAGATCTGTGAAAATACGAGAAGCTCAAAGTAAGAATGCATGCTTTTCAAGGTATTTTTAGCAGTAAAAACGTGTGAATTAACATGGAGCATGCAAAAAGGCAGAAAACAGGCAAATCAATAACATTTCCATGGAAACAAGAAGGCTATTGTCCTCGTGGAGAAACCAGTCTCACCAGAAATGTTACACAGTGCACCTTATTACCATACAAAGACTGCCATGAAGCAAAAGCCCGAATACAGTTCTTATTGCGACAAAAACAAATGGCACGGATCTACTTTTCAAATAACTATAGGCCTACTTCCTAAACTATTGTTATTCATGTACAAATGCATTTATTTGTGATTATTTAATAGTTCTTACAGCTAGTTTTTCTGATATTCTAATAACATACACAACCAATATTTAACTCTGAGTCAACTCTCAGTACATAGTGTCATGCAAAAACTGGTTTGAATTCATTAATCATTCATTCCTCCCAGCAGCGTTGGCCATTTGTTACTGTAATATAATAATTTTGCAGAGTACAAATTTTAATATCAATGCAAAGGTCTGTCACAATCATTACTATATCGACTTATCGTTCAGTAAATGAAAGATGGAACAATATTAAACAATTTAATTACAAGAGAAGGGAGATTTTTTGACATTTTGATGTAATAAGGTAAGATTTGAGCTGTAGAGGGTAGAATAAATAACTTTTACGGTTAATTATTAGTTCATTCTGCTATTTATTTGTGGCAGCTCGTGCCTTTTAATGACACTGTATATTTAAAAATGGGTTTACTGGGATTATTCTGCTTTGTGTCAGAGGTATAAAGTAGACTTAGACAGATTTATTGATTCACAAGGTAAATTACTTGAACACAGCAGCTCACGTATCACATTATATTACAATAACAAAGAGTAAAAAATATATACATGTGTAAAAAAAAAATTGTAATAAACTTCTAAATTAGTAGCAGTAAAAAAGGTAAAAAAAAAAAAAGTAAAAAGTAAAGTAGTTTCAGTATTGTTATTCTTATTTATTGCTGTATATCTTTGTTTTATAATATATTTGTTATTGTGTCAATCAGTACAAATTTACCAGTTTAACCTCTGCGTTCATTGTAAACAGTAGAGCTATAACAAAATCTATAAAACTATAATAAACAATAAAACTATAACTGTGAAACTACACTAAAACATACCAAAACAATAACTATAAACATACTAAAAATACTATAACTATAAAACTATAACTATAAACCTATAAAAACAATTTAAAAAATGTATTATATCTCCACCTTGTAAACCCACAAGCAGTGTTGGGGAGTAACAGATTACATGTACCAGAGTTACGTAATCAGAGTACAAATTATGAGTAACTGTATTCAGTTACAGTTACAGTTACTGTTTCAGTGAGTGGTAATTGGATTACAGTTACTTTGTTGAAATAAATGGATTACACGGTGGTATTTTCCTGTTTTCACATTTCGGGCTATATCCCTTTTTTTTTTTTTCCCCCCAGTAATTCTACTCATTGCCAGACACTAAACCAGGTCCAAACCAGGTCTAAACCAGGTCTAAAACCAGGTCTGAACCAGGACTAAAACCAGATCTAAAACCAGTTCTAAACCAGTTCTAAACTAGGTCTAAACCAAGACTAAACCAGGATTAAACCAGGTCTAAAACAGGACTAAACCAGGTCTAAACCAGGTCTAAACCAGGACTAAACCAGGTCAAAACCAGCACTAAACCAGGACTAAAACCAGGTCTAAACAAGGTCTAAAACAGGATTTAACAGGACTAAATCATGCTGCGTGGACTGTGTTTCCTCCTCTTCTATCAATAATATTAATATTATATTAATGTTAATTTGATTAAGTAAAGTCTGGGCTTTTTTATTGTCTTTTAGCAGACAAAACATCTTATGTTACGATTTCCTCGTCTTTGCTTCTCTACAGCAAATCAAGTAATCCAAAGTATTCAGATTACGTTACTCACTTTAAGTAATTTAATGGATTACGTTACAAACTACATTTTGTGGTATGTAATCTGTAATCTGTAGGGGAATACATTTTAAAAGTAACCTTCCCAAACACTGCCTATTATTCGTTTCAACACCAGACCTCATTGTCCCTACCTGTCAGTCCTGTCTAGTCCCATTCACACGTCCCTCGCCGTTTTCATTGGCCCACCGCTTCGACCCTCCCGCGCGATTGGCCGCCGTCCCCGTCAGTCACCGCCTTAGCCCCGCCTTCTGCGTTCGCCACTTCCGCCTGTGTGTCAGCGCTCGCCTCCCGTGCGCATCAGCCCCCTTCATCTTCGCTCCGGACCTGGATCAACGCAGAGGTAACGATTTCGAGCCTTGAATTCACCCTTTCCTCTTGGTTTCGCGAGTCGATTGCTTTCAGCCATCCGCGTTTGGCCAGGGGACACACTATGCTGCTAATTACGCCAGTTAGCCTCCTGTTTTTAATGTAGCCCGCCGCCCGCTAATGCTAATACGCTATCTGTCAAAGGAGGGGATCGGCGTCCTGTCAAAGAGTTGTGTTTACCATTGTTTTGCGGTGACAACGAGCCTCCAAGACACCCACTGATCCATCCCATCACACTGCACGCAAGATGGCCAGTTTTTCTCAAGTTTGATCTGCGAAATAGTCTCTAGATCGCGGCTGATACGGAGCTAAATGCACAGTTTGTAACGCAGTCGCGCAGTCTTGTTTTGAGCGTGAGTAGGTAGGATCATTTAGTCTTTTTTTTTTTTTTTTTTTTGGGATGGATTAAGCTTTGGACCATTGAAGAACTGGAAAAAAATGTTGTTGCGGGCTGTGAAAAAAGGAGGGAAGGCGGCTGAAAGCGCCAGAAAAAAAAAAAAGATAAGATGCGTGAAATTTGTGCGTGAGAAAGTGGGCGTTGGTGGAATTCTTCGGATACAGATTGTAAACATTAAAGAAACACCTGGTTTACGTGAATAAAAGCGATGTTTTGTTAATTTAAATGATCAAATTGTTTTAAAAAAAAAAATACAAATTACAGTTTTTATACGTTTAATAGACGCTGCTTTTTTTTTTTAAGACTTGAAATATAAAGTTCATCTCATTTTGTAGATTTTTTTTACTGATGATTCATAAGCATGCAATGACAGTCATGAAGAGTAAACATAAGTAAAGTTCTTAAAATAAATGGCAAGGGACTACTTCTCAAATAAATATTAGAGCTTTGGGATTTTACTAGTGGATGAATAACTTCAAAGAGGTTAATTTCGGTCTTCCAGTTTTTTCACCCACGTCATTTCTCCATTTCATTTCCGTTTACTCCAAGCGCCGGAACTCTTGGACAAATTTTGACATATTGTTGTCCGAAACTTTGACGTATTACTTCAAAGGGGTTGATTTCGGTCTTCCAAGTACTTCACATACTGGTCTGTCAAAAAGATCCTTTATTTAGATAGTGAATGAATATTTGAAGTTAGTTTGAAATGATGGCTTCATATGTGATGGTACTTTTTGTGTAAAAAGTTTTTAGTATGGCAATTTGATATCCTATTTATTACTTTAAAGGTCATTTATTATGCTGTTTTTGAGTCTGTTATAATGTTGTTTCCTCATCACAAACGTACCTGGAGTTGTTTTTTGTTTCTTTCACACATGTTTAACACACAAACCCTGCATATTTAGGATGAGTTCCTCTCTCAGACAAGAAAACCGTGTTCCACCTTGTGTCATGTGCTAACACAGAAACTTCTCTACTGTGTTTTTAAACTCCGTACACCTTCACTAGAATCAATTTGGATTAATTCAGACCTGGAATTGCCAATCTCTGCTAAAATAAAAGTTAAAACGAGCTGTCAACTTGAAAACTACTACTACTACATGAAAGATTTTGATCTTTGGAGATGTAGACTTCAGAATAATACTACTATAAGGATTACTCAAACGTGTGACTCCAGGTAAATTTTTTGATGAGGTAACAACTAAGGGTGTGCAAAAATATTGAAATATCAATATATTATATAGTTTAATGTAATGATACAGTATTGATAACGTGGGCTGCTGTATCGATATATCGCCAAGAGCATTTTTTTGGTATATTTGGCTCAATTATTTTGTTACAGTGCTACAGTTTTGTTGCCAGTTCAGAGGAAGGAAACTTTTTTAAGCGACACATTTGACATTTTCACTGTTTTGATGATTTAAATGTTTGTGTTTCATATTCACTTTGCACAAGAAGTGGTTTAACAAAGACTTTTAGTATCACAGCCATGATACAAGCCTTTATTTTTTATAGAACTGTATCGAATTGATTTGAAATATACCGTATCGCATAAGCTCACTGTATCGAGGTATGTATCGTATCGTGGCTTATGTATCGAGATATGTATCATATTGGCAACTTCTGAATGATACCCAGCCCTAGTCAGTGTTGGGAAGGTTACTTTAAAAATGTAATCCCCTACATATTACAGATTACATACCTAAAAATGTAGTTTGTAACGTAATCCATTAAATTACTCAAAGTGAGTAACGTAATCTGAATACTTTGGATTACTTGATATTGTTGTACTTTTTAAAATGACATGAATGTACCAACCACATCCTGAAAATTCATGTTTGTTCTCTTCAAATTGGCTGAGCCCAAGTCTCCATGAACAGACTTTTGTTTGCTGTAAAGAAGCAAAGACGAGGATCTGAACATAAGATGTTTTGTTTTGTCTGCTTAAAGACAATAAAAAGTCCAGTCTTTACTTAACCAAATTAAAAATATTATTGATAGAGAAATGATTTTTATATGAGAAATGAGAAATTTATATGAGTATGTCCACCCTACTGTTAGTGTCATACTGTTTAGACCTGGTTTAGTCTTAGTTAAGTCCAGGTTTAAACCTGGTTTAGTCCTAATTTATTCCTGGTTTAGACCTGATTTAGTCCTGCTTTATTTCTGGGTTTAGTCCTGGTTTAGTCCTTGTTTAAACATGGTTTTACTCCTGGTTCAGTCTGGTTTAGTTCTGGTTTAGTCGTGGTTTAGGCCAAAATGTGAAAACGGGAAAATACCGCTGTGTAATCCATTTATTTCAACAAAGTAACTGTAATCCAATTACCACTCACTGAAACAGTAACTGTAACTAAATACAGTTACTCATAATTTGTACTCTGATTACGTAACTCTGGTACACTCTGGTAATCTGTTACTCCCCAACACTGGCCCTAGTAACAACATTATAACATGGCTTAAAGCTCACAGGAGTCAATTAGGTGTATTATAGGACGTTTAATATGTGCTAGTACGTTTCATGCAGAAAATTAATGTCTAATGTTATGCTTGAAAAGTTGTCTTCTGATGAGTTAAATCATTTACTTATTTGCTTTATTATTTTCTATTTTAAGCGCTTGTTGACTGTGTTGACCTGGGACATATGCGTACATGTTCGTGGTGTTCTCTTTTTAATGATTTCGTCATTTCTTATCTTTTCATCGGTGTGTCTGGTATGCTTTGTTAGGTTCTTATCGCTTGTAAATATTATGTAATAGACAGCAGAGATGCAGACTGGTTGTAAATGATGTCTCTTTCAACACCTCATGTGTATAATGACAAGTCAAACTGTAGTCAAAATAACAGTTCCCAATTATTTCTATACTAATTTCTGTCTAATTGAAATATTTTTACTCAAGTTGGGGGTTGACAAAAATGAATAGCTCAATATTTTGGGGATTTTCTCACTCACAGTTGCACCTGTCATGATAATTACAATTTCAGAAGTTCAGTAAGTAAGATATGAGCTGTAGAGAGTAGAATAATTAACTACTGTGGCTAATTATCAGTTTATTCTGCCATTTATTTGTTGCAGCTCAAGCTTTTTAATGATACTGTCTATTTAAAATGAGGTTTAGTAGGATTATCCTGCTTTTTGTCAGTGGCATAAACTATTTTCAATTGAAGGTTTATGTTTCTCTGTCTTCTATATTTCTCAAATCATTTCCCTTGTGGATCAGTAGAGTTTGTCTAAGTTTGTCTAAGCAAGTTTAGCAATATATCATGCATGTTTCGAAGTTAGTTTTCTTGCATCATCAGGACAGTAAAAGAAAACTTGTTTATGCAATACACTTGGCATTCACTGTTTTGATGATTAAAATAGCTGTATTTTATATTAACTTGGCACAAGTAGTGGTTTAATGAAGAAATATTGTTGTTAAAATATATTTGATTCTTAAAAAACAGCAATATATCAGAGTATCATGTGCAATATATCGATTCTTACATGTATAACTTTATATTGTGATAATCGTGAGACATGTATCAAGTATCATAATGAATCGTGAGGGACCCTGTGATCCCCAGCTCTAGTGGTCACTGTAGTCAGCTAATGAATTCACAGAATATGTCTTTACTGGGCCAAGAATTTCTGTAGTTTTTTTTTTATACTTAAAATATAAAGTGCATCTCTTGTAGCAGCTTCCATTTTGTAGATGTTTTTTTTTTTTTTACTGATGATTCATAAGCATGCAATGACAGCCATGAAGAGTAAACATAAGTAAAGGTTCTTAAAATAAACAGCAAGGGACTCAAATAAATATTAAAGCCTTGGGACTTTACTAATGGATGAATAACTTCAAAGAGTATCATGTGCAATATATAGATTTTTACATGTGTATCGTCATATTGTGATAATATCGTATCGTGAGAGATGTATCAAGTATCATAATGATTCGTTAGGGACTCTGTGATTCCCAGATCGAGTGGTCACTGTAATCAACTAATGAATTCACAGAGTGTGTGTTTACTGGACCAAGAATTTCTGTATCCTGCACAAACTTGAATGGTGTAGTTAAGAGCAGCAGAGTTTTGCTGAGTGGAAATGTCTGTTCCTGTTTGACTGCTGTGTTCATTTGTAACGCAGGCCCCGAGACTAAAGCGAGCAGGGCCCTGAGACTAAAGCAGGCAGGCCCTGAGAGACTAAAGCAGGCAGGCCCTGAGAGACTAAAACAGGCAGGCCCTGAGAGACTAAAGCAGGCAGGCCCTGAGAGACTAGCAGGCAGGCCTGAGAGACTAAAGCAGCAGGCCCTGAGAGACTAAAGCAGCAGGCTGAGAGACTAAAGCAGGCCCTGAGAGACTAAAGCAGGCAGGCCCTGAGAGACTAAAGCAGGCAGGCCCTGAGAGACTAAAGCAGGCAGGCCCTGAGAGACTAAAGCAGGCAGGCCCTGAGAGACTAAAGCAGGCAGGCCCTGAGAGACTAAAGCAGGCAGGCCCTGAGAGACTAAAGCAGGCCCTGAGAGACTAAAAGAGGCCTGAAGACTAAAGCAGGCAGGCCCTGAGAGACTAAAGCAGGCCCTGAGAGACTAAAGCAGGCCCTG